TCATGCACCCTCCATGCTATTCAGACTCTCATACTCATTATCTCATGAGCACAGAGGTCATATTCATCTCCTCACATCCTCCCCCACGCCAACCCTGGTCACTCAGGCGGTCATCACTTATTAAGTGGCTGTGGAGGTACCATAGGGTTGATGGTGGTAAGCTTCCTCTTCTCGAGAACCTCACATTTTACTGGTGTGAAAGCAAAAGATGTACAAAGTATAACATTGGAGACATAAAAGAAAGAGCAGATGATTCTGCTTCGGGAAGCTGGACAGCAGGATAACTTTCATATAGGAAATAGCATTTAAACTTAATCTTGAGGAAAGAAGAAAGGGCATCTAGCAGTAAGGAAAGAACATTCTGGAGGCTTCGACTGTTATTCCAGCCTTCAGTGATCTCTCATTTTTCCGGAAAATTCTATTTGTGTGTGTGTGGCTTAAAATGTAAAAATCACACATTATCATTAATATAAACCTATTATCATATTTTATGTGGGGAAAAAGAACAAGTTAATATAACGATGAAATGTATTAAGGGCCAAATATAACAATACATTAAGGGTCCAACATACAGTCTATGTGAATCAGGGCCATGAATCTACTCCTACAACAACACCTAAGATCCATTCCAGAGTTGAGAATGTAACTATTTAGGCATATTTCTTTTGACCAGTGTTTCACAAGTCCCACGTGTGAATATCCTAAGCCCTTTATTGTGAACAGGAACCCTGGTTTTGCCTACTCTGCCCCCATATAGTGCCAAACATTCAATACAAAGACAATGCATGTATAATCATTGATTAACTAGAAAATGGATCCACCAAGACAGCCCAGAAATATTTGTCCTGAACTACAATTATTTCACTACACCCCCAGGTAGAGAAAATTTTTGTTGAATTGCCACAGAGGGTTTGTTTTGTTCTCTCTACTTAAATAACTAAGAGTATACAATCCAAAAAGCCTGTTTCAGTTCCAAATCCTCCCATACATCTTGTGGTAAAGTGGTTCTGAAGAGGGACTGTTCTGGGAACATTCTTGTGGAACTCTAAAACAGTTAAACATATTTTTTAAAGAATTCTGAATTCAAATATAGGGTTTTTTTTAAATTTCCAGAACTATTTTTCTGTAAAGGGAGTTGCTGAAATATTTAGAAAACATAGCAATCTATTGTCAATACAGTTTTTCCTGATACCTGAAGAGCTTTGCAATCACCGGGAGAAAGCAAAAGAAAAATGCTTAAGTTTAGATAAGGTGAAATTCTTATTGCCCTGAGACAGCTTTGTGGAATCTTAGTGCTTCATGGAATACAGTTTGAATAACAATGATATAATCTAAACTTTCTGTATTACAGATCAGACATCTGAGTAAGGTGCAGAGGATGATAAAATATGAACACCCTTGGCCCCTGATTTCAGAGCTTATGGGTTATGCTTCCATGTGAAGTAATTATAGAATCAGAAGACTGTGATCTGTTATGAAAATAAACAAATCTGTAATAAAAAGGAATGCTTGGTCACGGAGGTAAATTTTTTCAGATGCGTGCTGCCTTAACCTACTACTCAGAAACCGGTAGCTGCCTAGGATATAATGTATTTATCCCAAATTGTCTCAAAGATGCTTGGCTTTTCCTCCTGTCCAATGCCCTTACATATATAAATATCATGCAATACATGTGTTACTCAACAAGGAGGGATCATCTAAAATATGTAAAATTAGGTTTATCAACAATTCTGGGCTTCAGTCAAAAGACCTGGATTTGGGTCCTGTCTATTCCTCTTCCAGATGTGAAAGCCTCAGCAAACCACTCAAAGATTTGGAGACTCAGTTTCTAATTTATGAAGAAAAGTAAAAGCTCTTTACCAGGACCCAGAATTACCAAGGTGATAAAATCAGAAGGTATGCAAGAGTATACTGTAAATATTAAAAGAAATATGAACATCATTTCTACCCACTCCGAAAACATCAGGATGTTTAATAAGCTATATATTTACTTTCTGTTGACATTTTCTGATCCACTTGTGTGTGGAGATTAATTATGGATTGAAACATTTAAATATGAATGTTTCCTTAAGTAATGCAATTAACTAGGAAGAGGCAATTGCAAAAGTCTTTTGAAGTCCGCTGAAAGTGTCTTTACATAGTCTTAAGCTTTTATAATTTGCTCAAAACATTTTATAACCATTCATTATTTCCAAGCTATCTTTTAGGGTTGAATATTTGATTCAGGTATTTGATCCCAACGTGGGAGCTTGGGATTTTTCAAACTTAATTACTTAGTGTTTAAACCCAAGAATTTAATGGAAAGTTAATAATATTTTGATTACATAGCCATCAGCACCATCAATTCTATATTACAAATATATTTTCCCATCTGGCAATGTGTTACAGTTCTAGGACAATCTTACAAGCAAAAATCACACCCAGAGAGCATCTGTGTTTTTGTAGGTGGAGGCAAAGACGGAAAACAGGCAGAAAAGATAATTACTCTCGTCAAATCGGTTATATTAAGAGCTAAATACCAATCATTGCCAATATTTTGTCTTCTCAGAAACTCAGAAAGTTTGTGCTGCTATGTTAAAAAAAATAAGTCCATATAATTAGAAAGTGTCCATAAATAGATCACAGACCACAGATTCCAGCTTTCTGAAAGTTAACCAGAGAAATGGGGGAGGGGGGGTGGCACCAGCTAAAGGTCCTGGAGCTATGCCAGATACTACAGAGAAACATGGGATCACAACAGCCATGTGACATCGAATGGGAGCTGAGAATAGCACATGGAAGCAACCCTTCCTGATGAGGGAAAGTGGATGTCATACACAAAGCCTATTCAACCCAGCCACCTCTTTGTAGGACTTATGGACTTTCTTAACTGCTATTTGGGAAAATAAAGGGGGAAGTCAGAATTCTAGAAACAGTAAAGGAACTCCCCCCTTGATGATAAACCCGCTTGCTTGAAATTCCAGAAGGCATGCACTTGCTTTGGATATCTTCTGCACAACCACGAGAATATAGGAACAAGTGTTCATAAATTAAGAATTTCTCCAGTTGGAAATAGAGTGCAAATAGGAAGCAGAAACTGGGGTTGAGATGAGATGAAAACAGAAGCTTAGCATGACAGGTTTTCTATGAAGCAGCCGAGGAAGAGTCACACTGAGCTTAGTTACCTCCACACTTTGGGTGATATCAGGGAGGGGACATAGATGTGCACAGAGACAGGAAAACACAAAGGCCAATACATTCTTCTCTTTGGGGACAAACCATAATAGGAAGCATGATTTTTCAGATAAGCTAAGGCAACAAAAGAATCGCAGGAACAAGCCAGGTGTGCCTGGAACTTCTCCTCAGTTATAATAAAACCCAGAAAGGTGCCTAAAGAGTTTTCAACATGGTTTCCTTCTCAAGTACTCATATTCCTCTAAGCTCTAAAATGAGTATAATAGCTAGGAAGTAGGGATTAATGCATCTAAGTGATAGAACAAAAACTATGAACATACTGATGGAGAACCCAAAGCAGAAGGAAAAAAGAGATCACAACAGGGTACATCTTATCTGAAAACAGGGCAAAAGTTTTTTTGTTTTTTTTTTAAGACTTCTTTGAAACATGTTTCAGAGTGAAATTCTAAAAAGTGGAATTCTAGTAATGGAAAATTCTAATTATGAATTGATTTTAGAATGCCAACTGCTACTAATTTATTTTGCATACAATATAATTAATATACTTGCTGTGTACTGAATCTTGTAAATGGTTTTTTCATGAACATGAAAAATAGGTTTTCTCATGATGTCAGCTACTCTACTTCTATTTTTGCCCAAAGTCTTACAGCGCTTCACCTGTAATTTTACCCACCAAGGGGGATTTGAGGAAATTAATCTTCCTTTGAGGCACCTGGATTAGCTCTGTGTCTAGGATAATTATTATCATTTCCAGGCTTTCATTTGCTTATCTGTCAAATAAAGAAATCAATCTCAATGATCACTAATATGCTTTCATGCTAAAAAAAATCCAAATTTTTTTGTTTTTTGTCATGGTATTTGGTGCTATAAATATTTTTAAACATCAGATTAGTGCAGGATTGGACTGTCTTTTACATTTTTAAGCATTTTAGTTCATGGATTCCTTCATTTTAATTAGTTATCCACACCATATAGCTGCATGTTTTACTTTATTTTTTGGAACTAAAAATTTTGGAAAAAACAGAGGTCATATTGCACATTTCTCTTCTTGAAAGCACAGTCTCTTTCCCTCCTTTATTTTATATCCTTCTTTGTCTTCTTCACATTCATCTCTAAACATATTTTTTCGACACTGATGTATATTAATAAGGCGGGCACTATAAAACACTGCTTAAAACTGTGGGTCTGTTATCAAAGCCTGACTCCAGCGCTCATACACCTGCTATCTTTGGCAAATACTGAGATTATTTGTGTTTAGGACATTGGTGGTGCTAAGAAAGAGCTTAGTACACAGGGTTGTTTTATATTATGACCTAATACATGTGTATTTAAATGTATCTATGACTATATATATTACACATATGCAATTTATATTCTATAATATATAGATTCTAATATATTCTATATATAGATAGATATAATAGTAGGTTAGGCATTCAAAGACAATTCCTATTAATGACATCAAACATTCATTCTAAATCTTTCATATATATACATATATGAGTCTCTGTCAATGTGCACTATATCATAATCAGCATTGTTTAAGCCCAGAAGCTCTCAAATGTCATGATATTTTCTTTTCAGGTATAGCGATTATCTTACAAAAATATTAATACTTCTAAGACAATAAATTTCAAACTACCACTTTTGGCAACATGTCTAAATTAAAAATTAAAGAGCAATCCAAAACCCAGTAGAGAGACCAGAGGGGTAAAAGATCAATATTTAAAATTTATCAGCTAAATAAAAAAAAAAACATCAGCTAAGTAATAGATGTATCCCGAGAAAATAAAACAAAATGCAATGCTGTGTCATATGCTACTTACTAGTATAAGTGAGCTGGAAACCCTGGTCCGTGTCAGACCCATTGGTGTTGAACTCAAGCCACAGGTGATTGGAAGTGCTGTTCAGGACCAGCCCCATCAGCTCATTCTTGGTGAAGGCCCCCAAAGGACGTGATGAACTGTCTTTTCCATCATACACCTAAGGAGAAGTCACCGCGTGAGTCCCCGTATTACTTCTGTTTGTATGTTAGCAATTCTAACAAGAAATTCAAATCTTCAAAGATGTGATTTTGTGCAGCACTTGGAAAAGGTAGACAGTGAAGTGAAAGCTGAATGCATGACATTGTGAAGCAGTCTTTTTTCTTTAAGTTTTTTCTTTACCATCCACATTAAAGACAAAAGAGTTCATTTGTGGTCAGTTCATACTACCGTCATCACTTTGGGCGTTCTTCCCGTGCTTACTTAAAATTAAAGAAACATTTATTTGCATTTCCGGGTTCCATTATTTATCTTTGTCCCCCTCCCTCAGACTCCACTTCCCAAGGCTGAAGGGACGTACACTATTTTAGGCATGAAGTTGCCTCTGAACTATCATGTAAGTAATCGGACATCTCAGCCCTCTTTGCTCTCTCGCATCTGAATGTATTACAAGATAAGACAGGACGTGGCAATCTCGTTCCATGTTGCAGCCATGGAGCCTGAGGTGACTTGAGTCTTGAATTAGTTGTAATAAAAGAATCCCACCATGTAATGATATCAGAGACATGCATTGCCTGGCTCTGAAACACTTTGTACTTGACTTTACCTTCCTAGGTGGTTGTGAAGCGCGAGTGTTTATAACAAATATTTGGAAGGCAGGTAGACAGTTTTGCTTTCGTGCGGACCTAAAGGGTAAGGGAGGGGGGCGTTTGGGGCTGCGTCTCTGAATTTCCCCGAGGTAGACTGCACCGGGCGTGGATGACTGCCAATCACATTTCCTCAGTGGGGACTATGTCAAACAGTTTAGGGCATGGGCGTGTGTGCTTTCTGCTAAGGCCAGAATAGACCGTGTTTGCGTTCGGGAAGGATTCAGTGCTGAGGCTCCCCAACACCCCTAGGAAACTATCAAGAATAGAACGCAGAGGGGGAATGGTTAACCCGTTTGCCTCTTTGAACTATTGCAATGGTTCATAGCAAGAAACCACATTGGTACAGATAAGGGATTCTTGGAAGATAGAATCAATATGTATTATATTGGAAAACATCCAGTTTTTCTTGATAAAAAATCTTAACTAAATAAAGGACATGGAAGTCCTCAGTAGACTCCTCCAATGTCTGTTTAGTTCCCCACTATTTTCCTTCTCACATGGATTAATTCTTACTTCTCTTCTCTTAACTCCCTTCTAATACATGTATAGACCATATTCCTTGCTCAACAGACTTACACATATATACAGAATCCTAAAAGAAGAAAACACATTTAGAAAAATCGATTTTATAAATCATTATTTTATTTATTTCCAATTAAACAAGCAGATGCTAGGATAGTGGAGTCAGATGCCCTACAATTCCTCCAGCCACTGGCGACTGTTGGAAAAATCATCGCTTGGCTTAACATGTGGATTCGTCAGACATGGTGAGGTCTGTGACACCCAGACTCTAATGAGTTTTAAACCCAGAGGAATCTGGCTCAGAAAGAAATTGTCCAGGCCTTCCTGAAAAGGTCTCATGTCACTCCACATACCACACAATTCTCTGTAAGCCACAGAACCCACAGAGATGAGGAGCATTCGAGCAAGTAAACACTCATGGACACTCAATCCTTAGAGTTCTGAAGCATTGTCCAGAGTCACCTCTGCTGGCCTTGACTGGGAGCTTCCCACAGGTCAAAAAGATCATTCAGACTGCAGCCAGCTCCCAGTATCCTCCAAACTACAACCACTAAAAAATTCTGTCGTATTTGTTGACATCACCGGCAATGAGCACTGTGCTTAGCAGGGGAAATGTCAGGATGAGCAAGTCACCCTCTACATGGAGCATCGTTTTCTCAGCTCCCTCAAGTTGAAAATTGGGATTCAAGTTTTGCATGGATCACAAATGACAACCCAGATAATACTGGAAGTCAGGAGACTTGATTTTTAATTCCAATTAAATTAGAAACAAGTCATGTGAGTTCGGCATATTGCCTGTCATGTACATACCCTGGTCTATATGCTCCTGGTTCCTTTTAGGTATTAGAAAAATGCTCCTTGAGTCACATGTTAATACAAGCCTGTAATTGTTTACATTGCTTCTCAGGGTTTGGTATTTAATCAATGCCATACGCTTAGAGTGGAATAGTCCAGTTAGCAGATGATCACAGATTAGGAGACATCACGCCGGGTCCTGGAGCAGCAGGGCTGGATATACGGGGGGAGTCTTCCCAGTTTGACAGCAGCTATACCCAGAACATCCCAAATTAACTTTGCTTTCCATTGTATATTCCTCTTTATTTTATTATGTTATATTAGTCACCATACAGTACATCAATAGGTTTTGATGCAGTGTTCCATGATTCATTGTTTGCGTATAACACGCATATTTCTCTTCCATGATTTTTTCCATATGAAGCAAGAGAACATCACATTTTTGTGCATGGAAGTATTTCTATAAAATTTTGGTCTTTCTTATTGGATCATACTATGTATGAAGGAGCAATGTGAATAGCATTTAAAGCTAAAAAATAAGATAATCCCACTTGAAATGTTTTAAACACTGAGATATTTATTAGCATATACAATAAAATATATGCTTGCACAACACTTAGGCATTTCAGATGATTGGCAGTTTCTCTGCAATTAAATGGGGTAAAGCAGGTTTTTGTTTTTGCTTTTTCTTATAATCAACAACTTTAAGCTGCAGTAATCATGAATGAACATTATTCGCTTCCTTCCATGGCAATAATATTTACCAATGTACATTTTATGCAGTATCTCTAAATCACTCACCTGCACCAAGTATAGTTAATTGTTACCTAAAAGTTTTCTCTAAAGGCTTACTGACTGCTAAATTTGAGGTTATCAAAGAACTCAGAAATGTTTACTTACGACGCAAGTTTAAATTTTTTTTAGATCGGTGAGAATGTACTAGTTTCCTGCCTGAAAATCACTTCTTAATTACAGAGCTTCATGATGTCAGCATGAGCTTTTGAAAGACGATTACAAGAAAAGAACAACTAGAACAAAGCTTCTCTTCTTAACAGTGACATTGAAACAGTTGAGCTGGGCTTAGGAGGCAGTAAGGCACCCGAGGCTTTAAACACCTCTTGAGTGGGCGCCTAACAGCTGATGAGGTCAGGTGAGGTCCTGGAGGGACCCTCTTTAGCCATGATGCAAATGGATGACAAACGGGGGGTTATTGATGTTTCCCTATAGGCTGGCTCTTTGCACCTGTTCCTAATGCTCACAGCTTAAGGTGCGTGGACGCTCCTGAATCTGAGGAGAGGTAAATGTAAGTGGAAAACCTGAGAACTTCACAAAGGAATGAGCAGGGAGATGTGTCTCTCTCCTGCCACACCTGGGCTGTGTAACCTGGACCAGTTGCTCGCTCCTCACTGGACCGAGCAGGGAGATAGATTGGGTAGTGTCTGGCATTGGTCCAATGCCCCTCTTGGCATGCCCTTGCTCTAGAAATGCCCCCTCCCTGGCCCCAGACCCTGGAAGGGCTCCAGTTTATTCAAAGAAATACAGAAGAGGTGGGAACTATATTAGAAGCTTTAGGAACTATGGGGCACTTCTAGTTAGAGCTGGGATTTCATAGATCAAGTCAAGACCTGAAAGTCCCCAGAATCCATTTCTCCTGCCTTTTGTTCCTGGCATCCATCTACAATGTGGGTGATGGGCTGGGTCCCGCCCCCCAGAGCATTCTCCTGAGGCTCTGGTACTTTGTATCATATAATGCACAGAACCCTTGCTTCTGGTCCCATCCCAAGCATATCCCTGAGTCCTGTGAACACAGCTTAGACTCGTCCACTAAAATTCTGTCTTATCATGGTTTGCTCCACCTGAGCCCTGCTTTGTGGTCTAGGGACAGTGGCTGAGCTTGCTTCCACTATCACATCAAAATCTACACCTTCACAAACCAACTGGGTAAATAAGCTGGAAAAATTGTGTATCTCTAAAGATATATTAATAGATGTATACATCTCTACGTGTATATATGGATAGCTATTTCATGTGTTCCTAGAGAAGAAGAGATGGAGTCTCATTCAAGAAGATTCTTCTTACCTTTAGAACGTCCCCTTCCAAAAGCTGGAAGCTTCGAGCCCCAAGATGAATCCCCTTGCCGGCTTCCGTTTCTATTTTATAGATGCACTCATGGTTATTATCATAATTTGATGGGAAATTTGGAGACAGCAACGTTCCTTCATTTCCTTTGACACTTGCCCCACATTCAGCTAAAATAAATAGGACATAAAAAAAGAAAGAATTCAAAAGTGGAATTACTGATTTTAACACATAACAACTCTACAATCATGATAGCCCTCTCCTCTCTCAATGTATGTTTGTCATTAATATATTGTTTTTATAGATTTGTGACTTTTGTTTTTAACTGTTTACTAACTGGACAAGAAATAGCCTCCACTGGTCCATTTTCAAGATTTCTTGTTTCTTTTCATAGAATACTTCTTACTCCACAGAAGCAGCCTGCTATCCCACAGAGAGATCTAGAATAAAATCGCTCTGCCTGAGCCCACTTGCTGTGTTATAGGGCAGTCATACCCATCCCTCCCCACTATCATTTCTACCTCACAAAACGTCCCCACCAATTCCAGTGTGACAGCTCTGTTGTACGGAAGTAATTTCCTTACGTTCGTATTTTGTGGCATCAAACTCAACACATGGAAAGGGGACCTAACATACAGAAAATCACTCCTCAGCTCAGTCCTTTGTCACAGCATTGAGCCCATCTGCATTATGTCTCAGGACAAAAGAGCATTCAGTGGAGGTACATGTTAGCTTCTCCTCCCCTTCTCCTAAGGAAAGCAGAGGGTCGTTCACTACTAGATCCAAATTTGCATAAAAGCAGCTTTAATCAAGGTAAAAAAAATAAATATAGCTCTCCATTTTCTGTCAACTCAGAGAAAGTCACTTAACCTCTCTGCTCACCTCGAAAGTGAACAGTTTAGCTGAAAGACTAGAGCTTTAAAATCCAATCAGTCCAAAATTATCATTAAATAATAGAGATGTCGTGCATGCGTGCTCGTGTGTGTGTGTGTGTGTGTGTGTGTGTGCGTGTGTGTGTGTGAGATAAGAGAGCTCCATGGGATTCGGCACCAAATAATTTATTGGCCACACTGTGTGCCAAGTGAAGTGATTTTTAAAAATTCAACAAAATGGGGCGCCTGGGTGGCTCAGTTGGTTAAGCGACTGCCTTCGGCTCAGGTCATGATCCTGGAGTCCCGGGATCGAGCTCCGCATCAGGCTCCCTGCTCGGCAGGGAGTCTGCTTCTCCCTCTGACCCTCCCCCCTCTCATGTGCTCTCTTTCTCTCTCTCTCAAATAAATAAATAAAAATTCAACAAAATGAGTATGAAGAACAATGGTCAAGTTAATAATTACAACTGCGTGCTCGGCATAATCAGTGAAAAGGACATATGTAGTGGAGGTGAGGCAGAGAGGAGCTCACAGCGCTCATTTTGTGCAGTGTTCTGTAACTTGGGCAGACATCGTGTGCATGCCCATTTTCATGGTTGTGATTTTCTCTGACATCTCCATCCTCCTCTAACAATTAGTACAATCAGCTACACCTCTAGCCATGATTCCCTAGTCTGCTAGCCAGAAGGAAATTGCTAGAGTTTTAAGATCAGCTCCCATGGATTTATGCACTTGGACCTTATAAAGTCCCCACAAAGAAGTGTATGGAGAAATACACAAGAACTTGGGCTCCTCACCTGTCCCTTATCTCTCCTTAACTGAAGACATAAAGGCTTTTCTGGGCAGCGGGGCAGAATGGTGACCCAACACAATGGAAATTGGGTTTCATAATATATTTAAAAACTATAGACATATTTATATTTATATGTAATTATATATGATTTAATTATAATAATCTTTTTAAAATATTTTTAAGAAAAGAAAAAAAATATGGGGAGAAAAGTATGTGGTGTATCTCTCATGCTGCATGTATGGGTGGGTGTTCAATCTCAGGACTGTGCCTTGATGGTCTTTGAACAGTGAACAGTCCTGTTTTTTGTTTTTGTTTTTGTTTTTTAAGTAGGCTTCATGCCCAGCACAGAGCCCAACACAGGGCTTGAACTCAGGACCCTGAGTTCAAGACCTGAGCCCAGATCAAGAGTCGGATGCTTAACATGAGTCACCCAGGAGTCTCACAGACATTTGGCTTTATAAGTTAAATTCAACAAGCATTTTAGGTCAGTAATCCCCTTGGGAAATAGTAGTAATACATGGGCCTTGTTGTATATTTTTTGCTTTTTTTTTCTTTCTTAAACGAATAAGATTTTTTTTTAACATAAGAGCCAAAATAAATGGAAAGAACAGCAAAACAACAAAGCAGAGTATCCCTTTGGTTGTTCTGTGGATGGAATAGTGGGGATGGGGTGGGGGGTCAAACTTGTTCAACATATCAGACTTAAAAGGAATTAAAAAAAGAAACTCAAGGGAATTCTGATAACTGGAATATAAAACCTAGTCACACATAAATCAGGAGTTTTTATTTAAAATTGAATTTGACAGTGATCAATAAAATGAACCATTCAAAAATCAAATTTAAGTCCTTTTATCCATTACTTTATAAATTTGAAAAAAAAAAAGTCTTGTAGTGGAAGATGGAAAAATACTGATATAGTGGCAAATAGATTATTTTTAGTCTAAGGAAAACATTTGAAGAAGTATTTTTTATGGCTGTAACAACCGGTTGTGTGTATTTGGGTTTAGCATGCATTCGAATCTATCAAGTCCTTTAGCTGACAGTGTGCATTGCGCGTCCTCTATAAATGCAGGCAGTCCTGAGTCAGACCTCCCCAGAGGGTGGCTGGAGGTGAAAGGGATAATGAGGGTCCTGGCCCCCCCTCTGGCCACCATCTGGTCATCAGGAGGGGCGGCGGTCTTCCTTCTTGACTGAATGAGGTCAGGAGGAGGGAGGGAGGGTTGGAATGCAGAAGGGGTAATTAATTGAACACAGTGGTAAGTCTTGAACCCAAAGTGTGCAATGAGGGCTTGGCCACTGTCAGGTAACTATGGAAATACATATGGGAAGTCGTAGCTTGTCTTCACGGGGCATTCCACGAGGAAAGCAAAGCCACAGAGAATTGACTCGGCTGGGATTCACTCACCCCTGAAGGAAGTGCTTCTCCTTCCCAAAGGCAGGACCTGCTCTAGCTCTGTCTACCAGCTGTATCTGGCGCTCTGCATTTGTGGACAGCGGGGTTGGAATTCCTTTCTTTGGTCCTCACATCGCTACATCTCTACTCTTCTCTTCCCCTCCACAGATTTGCCACACCGAAAACCGGACAGACTCGGTTAGGCATATCATTTTTCAAAGGAGACAATCTATCATGATAAGACTGATGTGTGAATTCTAATCATCGTAGTGTGTGTCACACACTTTAAGTTCTTCACATACAGGGACTCATGCAATCTTCACGGTAACCTTGTCTAACAGGTTCATAAACCACATTTTACAGGTGAGGAAACTGAAACAGAATAGTTTAAAAACCAAGGGATTTCCCCAAGATCACACGACTGGTACAGATTATTGATTTGCTATAAACTCTCCATACTTAGGAATGGAATTGTGTCTTTTTCTTATCTTAGCCTAACTAACAATGAAAACATTTCATGGTTAATTATTCATAATATTATTAATTATGAACAACAATGAAACTAAGATAGTATGGGTTTGCTATAGATGGGAGTATACCTTTAAGGACTTTTATTTGGAACAGATCATCAATTAAGTGAAGATGATATTTGTTTTCACATTAGCATTTAAGACATTAACTGCATACTTATTTCACATAATACAACAAAAAGAGAGGACTAGAAAGAAGACTTTGGCATTTGGATACATGAGAAGAAAAAAAAAGCTATTAAATATAAAGATGTAATTTTACATATCTTTTTTTTTTTTTTTTTAAGTAGGCTCCATCCCCGGTGCAGAGCCCAATGCAGGGCTTGAACTCAGGACCCTGAGACCAAGATCTGAGCTGAGATCAAGAGTCGGATGCTGCACCGACCGAGCCACCCAGGTGCCCCTCTTACATTTTTACATCCCTTTTATTAGGATTTGGATGCTAGGATTTTGCTTTAAGGCAGATATATAAATGGTGCTTATTAAGTGCACTATATAGAAATAATAGATGTGAGGAATTACTTGGCCAGTTGTAACTGGTAACCCTTTGAGGACAAGTGAGTTTGTTGCTTCAGCTGCAGAAAAGATGGCAGAGAAACAACCAACCACCTCATCCTTGCATTTCACTTCATCCTTACCCGTGCAAAATAAAATCTCCCTCTATCAGAGCAACTGTTTCTCATCCTGAGTCACAAGGAAAATTTCTAAGTAAACATTCAACAATAATTCATTTATTTTATATACATCAGTAGCTAAATCTAAATCAAAATGCCAATACATTTATATGTGCATGGACAGACTTTCATTTTTCTAGAGTAGTTTGATATAGTACCTAAAGACGGTCTTCCATGTGAATTTTTCTCTGAGGGTATGAAATTGATAGTAAAATATATAAACGTGGTATCTTAATTATTTTTTAAATCTATTTCAAGACAGTATTTTGTTTTATATATTTATATTCTATGCACTATTACTATTTCATATATACTTGTACTGTTTAATATTCTTCAAAGACTTTCAAGCAGATTATCATGTCATTACATTTTCCCCCTTCAAATCATGACTCTTATATCTTTCCTCAAGTTTAAATAGTTACGTGTGTTCGGGTTGACGCTATTGCAGTGAACATGTGTGGTTGTTGCTGTTTTCTCTGATTTTATGTCAAGATCAATAAGAAAATATGACATCTTAAAGGTGGAACATGATTCGCCATTTTATCTTGAGAACCTTCATTCACTACTCAACTTAGTGCTGTAGCAGGTTGGCAGACCAAAGGTCTGGTGAGAGATGCAGTGGGGGACGAAGCACTAGGACACACAGAGAATCTGGGTGTGAGACAGGCTATTTATGGGATTCATCGACATGACTGAGGTAGGGGGTCATCTGAGAGAATTGTAGGAAATCTGGCTGCACAGACTTGACCAGATCCGGGGTAATGTGTGGGCTTCACTGAACCATCATGAGAGGTCCCTAAAAGTTTGGAGGACCGTGGGTGTCCTGACAAAGGGTATTTGGGGAAGAGGAAATGGCCTAAGAGAAAGCAATGGATCTTAAGGACTCTACGAGAAAACAGAAGGGGTGCAAT